ATCCCTGCAGGTGCTTAAGAGGTGCCTGGGTCTGGTGCTGGATGATGGTTTAGTGCTTTAGGGGCTACAGTGATATGGCCAGGTTGATAGCTGGACTTGATGATCCTAAAGGTCTCTTCCAGCATTAATGACTCTGTGACTGTATATTGTTGCTTTCTCTTCTGTTGTGTTTCTTGCTAGTACACCAAAATTGGGTGAAAGTTATTTGCAAATTAGGATTTGCTTAGATGTTTCCCAGAAATGGTAGCTCTATTTCCTTTCTTTTCTCATCAATTGTTGTGTCCTATTTTGATTAAAAGACAAAGCAGCCACTGTGCATAACCATTCAATTTTGTTTTCACAGAACATGCGAATGAAAGTAAGCCTAGAAATTTATGTGCTGTGTCTGACTACAAACTTTTAATCATGAGCAAGCTGTGTTTTATAAGCTGTTAAATGATTTTGCTGACTACAGTTTTACAAGCAAGGGTTTTGAGGGCAGCACTTCATCCCGCAGCCCACCTGTCCCCCAGTAGCCAGCATATTCAGGGTATGTACTGAGGCACCAGGAGGTACAGCCAAGTGGGCATGAGGATGCATTAGCAGTCCCACACATATTCCTCTAGGTTGTGCTCAAAATTCAGGCTGAACACAAAAATACACTTCCCCTTTTAATCCTTTAGGCTGGAAGTGTGCTGCTCTGGCATGCCCCTTGCAAGCTAGGCACTCAGAGATTGGTAGAAAAATAAAGAAGGGGGGATTTTTAGAAAACTAGCACCTTCAGCATTGATAAAAAATACCTCCTGGAGCTGATTAAGTGTCAGAAACAAGAAATCAACTATCCCTCTCTGTTAATGTTATAATTCCACACAAAAGACACATGAAAGTGTCTTCAAGTAGCATGAAATTTCTGTTAGTGAGTTGCATTCTTCCAGCTTGTGAGATGCAAAAAACCAGTTATACACATTGTAGTTATGCCAGTGGCAAGATACTATATAGAAGGGATCACCTGTAAATAAACAAAGATTAAAAAAAACCCAAACCAAACCATAAAAGAATAATGTGTGATGATGTGATTATGATCTTAGAAGCAGAACCTTCCAACCCCATTTGGTGTGCAAAGCACTGTGAATATTGCTTTTCCCCCCTTGGCTTTATCTCTTATTGCTTCATGTCTTATTGCTTCTGAAGATTGAAATTACATTTTCACCCTCACTTTACAATGACTTTGGAGTAATTGGTTAACAAAATACATAAAGCTGAGGTGGAGAAAGATTTACTGCAGCAGTTTTAGTTGTATCCATACCGAGTGCCATCTAGGGGAGCTCAGTAAAACCTCTTCCAAAATTGATAACCTCATCTGTCCTTAAAAATCCACCTGGAAAATTCTGCACCTATAGGATAATGCTCCAGGACCTTGCTACAGCTACTGAGCACACTGCTTGGAGTACATAGGGTGACATTAAAATTATAGGAAAATAAATTTACAAGAGATTATGGCAGGATACAAATGAACTAGGTCCATAAAATCAACAATCCCTTGTTCAGCTTGTGAGAAAAATGATGAGCTTTAAAATCCTAACATATAAATCTAGTGATTAAATCAATTAAGAAAATTAATTTTCTTTTTTTTTTTTTTTTTCTGATAGGGCAGAAAGGAAATCTTTAACTCTTAAAAGGAGTTAAAGAAATGAAATTGGCAAATTTTGTTTCATTTTGTTGACCTGGTTTGATCTCCTGTTCTAACTTTATATATTTTTAATCAGTATATATTTGGAGTAATATGATCAAGTCCATAATTGCACTTCTGTCTAACATTTCCTTTACTTAGCATTGCTTGAGTCAGCTTAGAGAAGTCTGTTTTTTCTCCTATCTTTCTGGAAATTGTGATAGGCAAGCAAATAAATTCTGAAGGTCTCAAGGCAGCTAATTATGCTGGGCTACTTTGATGACGCTTGAATTTCTACCATTATTTAATTTCCCAAGATAAACCTGCTAAAGAAAATGTGCTTTGTTTTTATTCTTTTAGAAAGACACCTACAATTCTTGTAAGAAACACTCAGAACAGCCTGTGCATTTTGGACCAGCTCTTCAGTCTTCATGCATGGAGCCATATGCAGGCTAGGTTCCTTTCTCCTGCAGAAAGCAGCATCTGATCCTTACACCATCCCTGTCTTCTCAGACTTGCACATTCCTTTGTCATCTCTTTTTGGCCTAACATGGTCAAAAAACTGTATCTTACACATAACCAATCTCACAAGGCATTGCTTACAAAGTCTATTTGAGTCCAATAGCTTTGCTGTATCTCCTCTATTTGAGTCTAATAGCCTTGCTGTTTTTTCTCTACCATAAACATTTCCTAAATTCTTTGGATTAGGAACAGTCTTCAAACTCTATTCAGCTCCTAAGTCACAGTTCAGGCTATAGCTTGGGCTCCTCAGTGCTGTTAAAGACACCTGTCTGGAAGACTTAATTCTTATGTCTCTTATGTATCATGATATCATATCTTTTTCCTGGGAAGAGCTGCCATAGACTGGTTCTATGTTAAATTAGACAATGATAGAAGCTGTTCTCATTTTTCCTTGAAGTGCACAGTGTTTTTTCTCTACAATAGTGACTTAACAATTTATACATATTTGATATTTACAAGTACCAATGGAAGTAAAAACCGAGTTTGCAAACATATCAATGTAATTCTGTCCTTTTGTCGTTCCCTCTCATGAATTCCTAGCACCCCTTTTAGCAGCAATCTCTCACTCATGACTTCAACATGAAAATAAAAGTAAGTTCCTTTATTTTTTGTGAGCATGAGTTACAGAAGGGGCAATAAAAATCAATTATAATTATGGCTAACACACTAAAATAAACTACTTGAGCTGTGATACTAGGCAACAAGTTAATTGTATAAATGGTTAATAAGTATGCAATCTGTTCCTGCTTTATCTAACATTTTTCATATTACCAAACTGGAAAACCCAAGGAGTTAATGGTACCAGTGGGCAAAATTCCTCCCACTTTCATCCTGTTCCAAGTCAGTGTCAATATCTATTGATTTCTGTAGGTCTCAGACAGTGGCACATAACACATGCTTCAGTTTTGTGCATACCTAAGTGCACATAATACTTAAGTAGGTATGCATATTTCTGAAGCGAGGAAATGGTAAAGGATCTTAATTTTATTTCACACTGAGTAACAGTGGGTGAAGCTGTGCTGTGATTTATTTTTTCCTTAGTAGCCAGCCCTCTAATACAAGCTCTCCTTCCTCCCATTTCCTGCTTTTATGAGAGAGAGGTGCTGTTATTTAGCACGTGGCTTTGTCTGCTCTGCTTCATGATAAAATGACAAATGTAGAAGAATAGCAAAAAAAGCCAAAAATTGCTATGATAACACAGCCATTTTTTCCCTTTTTAAAGAACAATGTATGAATAAATAATCTATAATAGCATATGATTATCTTTTACAGTATCTACATTAAAAGAAGCATAAACACTTCAGAAAGGTAAAAATGAGTTTTGCAGTGCTTTTTATTCTATTGTTCAAGGTATGCTGCACTATATGGAATGGAATTACTACCTAATAAATGTATAAAATAAAGAAGGAAAGCTTAATTCTTCATACTGTATATAACTGAGAACACTGTTTCATTTTGTTGGCCAACAAGTTTTTGATTTGTGTTTTTTCTTAGAAGCATTCAAGCTTTGACATACCTATGTACAATTGCAGGACAATTCTCATTCACCTGGCACTAAATTGCAGTGAATCAAGAGTTTTAAACGGAATAATCTGTCATGGGAGAATGCTGCATGTGGTTAAGCCCTTGTCTCCTTGAAGTGTTGTATGTTAAAATGCCAATATGGGAAATTGTATTAGCCTAACTTCTCTCTGTCTGCCAGTAACTGCTTTGAGTGGAAATCAAGTGATACGAAGAACCTGAACTGGGGCAAATCCCTTCCTGAGTGAGGGACTGGTACACAGACATCCCCGTGCCTTTCTAATTAGCTCCAGCAGTCACTGTGCCCATGATTCAATTAGCACTTTGTAATTGTAATTTCATTCTAACCCTATTTTTGATTTTATATAATGCCTCAAGCAGGCTATAGTTCTTTTCCTTCTGTCAGAAGGGAGTTACTAGGAGAGAGCTGGAACTGCCCTGACACTGAGCCTGCTATGTGAAAATGTACATTGTACCCTTCAGCTAGATCTAATTTAGAAATCTTTGAGCTCTTAATGATTTCCTATAGTTTGGCCTAATTGAATCTAAGTGCTTTAGCATTAAAACTAGAATGCCCAGCTGGGCTGAAGCTGAAAATCTGTGACCCTGAAACACAGTCCCAGAAACACAGAAACCCTCCTCTATGTTGGCAGTTGCCATCCGCTGCAGCAAAGCCACAGCCATTTTTCATTTAGACCCAGTGCACAGATTGCAAAAATAGTTTGGTTAAGACCAGTCTTCTGCAGAACTGGATTACCACCAACACGTGCAGCAGCTCTATGCAGTGATGCTGCTGCAGCCAGAGGGACTCTACTGCTAGAGCTGCTCTGACCAAAGTGTCCTCTTGGGAGGGAAAGGGGCTCTATTTCTGCTGGGAAATGTGCCACCCAGGTCAGCATCACAGTGGGGAGCTGGCCTCTGGAGCTCTACCTTCTCTGTCTGGCTTGAGATGCTGTTTATGGTTGACCAGCACCTCAAAAGTTCTGCCTCCAGAGCAGGGCAGACATGATGGCAGACTCAGATGAAGCTGCCTGGGCTCCCCACTCTGTGTCTTCCACCAGGTTTGCTGTTGGCTTTTCTCCAAATCTATTAAATCCACTACTAATATCTTACTAGTTTCTCTACAAAATTCTCTTCTTGAAAGCTTCTACCATAGAGGACCACATACCATGCAGGGTTGATGCATTATCAGTGTTTGGTTTTTTCCACCCAAATTCTGCTGTTCACTTTAATGTTCATGAAGGAATGAGAAATATTTGCACCATGTCTAATCCAAAACCTCTTCTAAGAACACCACACCACAAGTGCATGGTACAGAATTTCTTATTGGTTTATTAGTAAACATAAAATAGTAACAAATAACTTTCAAGCACAAATACAGAACATGAACTCATAATCTTATCCTCAAGCTAAGAATGATTCAAGTGATGATATGAATCATATCTAATAATTTTCTTGCTACTCAAATTGTACCCCTACAAAATTAGACAGACCTGTTTTCTTATTTTAAAGACTAAGTTTAAGTAAAAGCACTGCTGGTTTGTCCAGGGGATTCAAAGAACTTAGCCAAATGCTGTCATATTTTCCAACTAAAACAGACTGTTAAGCTCTAATATTTACATTTCACAATTTCTGGCCTGCTAAATTATACTTCCAGAGGGAATATCACTGCAGTATAGCTAATTATTTACAAAAGATGAGCTAAGGAAAGCAACTGCATGATTTCTGTTTTCATTGAGGTGAAAAATACAATCATCTTACTTAATCCTATGCTCCATTAGCAGGAAATTTTCCACTGATGTCAGCACAGATCTTGGTTTCAGAGGAAAATATTGTATTCTGTAGCAACAGCCCACCTTGCTATCAGTAAAGTCAGTGGAAGACATGCTTCTGAAGTAAAGTGGGATCTTCAGTGGTGTTTCCTAATGTGTTACAGTGCTAGGAAAAGAAACATCAATTTCATGAATCATAGAGGTTTATCTCAAAGAACAGATTTGCTTCTGGTTAAGAAATATATGAGAGTAGGTCTGAAATTTAAGAAACTTCAAAGTAACCTACACTACAGCATGGAAAGAATGTTAGACTTTATGAATTTTAATAATCCCCACAAGGACAAATCACCTGATTCATTCAATGACTTCCGTGCTCCAGTTAATGTTAAGATGCATGAAATATAGCACCTTAAATTGATGTTTTTGAAATTTACTTCTGTTTTTAACAAAAACCCCTTTTGTTTTCCCCAGAAATGTCACAGAAACAAATGAAATATTTTCTTCTAAATGAAAGATGTTTCATTTGACCAGACAGAAGAATTTTTTTCTCAGGTTTTAATTTGGCAGGAAGCAGGAGAATCCTCAGTTTATCCATATTTATTTGGTTTTGTCTGTGGTTTGTTTGCATTTTCCTTCTCTGAACTCTTTCACAGGTGACCTTCTAAAATGTATTATAAGTCAAATTTGACAGAGACGGCATATAGTTCCAAAATCACTTCTTCAGTCCTCATGGGATTGTATGTAGGACTATCCCCTCTCTCTTTTCACATGCAAAAACCTTTGGACCTCTCCATAGAGATGTTCACAGTGTGCAGTTAAAGAGGGGTGGTGCATAGATCTTGCCAATTTGCCTGCATATTTCAAACAGAAAAATATTGTCTCTGGATTTTAGCCAGGGAAATAATTTAACTTCTCAGAGGAGACAATTTTTGTCTTTGGCACAGTTAATACTCCCTAAAGGAATAAAAAGATCAGCCTATGAGCTATTGACTTAGAAAAAAAGAAATTATTTTAACAAAGTATGTTGCAGTAATGATACTTTTAATGAGTTTAATCACAAAATTTTTCCAGTTCTAAGTTTATGCAGAAAATACTCAACTAGACAGATTTATAATACTAAACATACTTCCATACTTATGAAATACATGTTTCTATAAATAATTGGCAGAACAATCTACCAATTGTTCATAGTTCATTGCAGATAGTGCTATATCTTTATAAATTTTTTTCCTTTAATAGATTTTTAGGATTAAAGATTTTATAAAATTTATCACTACAAAAGAAATGTTCACAACTTGTACTCCAGTTCAAACTGTCACTTTTTAATAAAGTTTCAACCTTCATATATTTTGAATTAATGGTAACTCATGAGCTGAATACCAAGATTAAAATAGTAGCAATAACAGTCACTTTCAGGATTCAGCATAGTTCATACACAGTTTTATTTTCCCCATGACTGCTTATTAAAGGGGTGGACAATAACCCCTTTACCACCAGACCCTTCAGTAGAGCACTTAGGTGACATTCACACTAGGTTGGACATCAAGGCCACGTACAGGCTGTTCACACTAAACTCACCTTGGAAATGTGTTGTTAATCTTAAAAAATGTTTCAGGTCACATTGTTAGCCTGACCAGATGTCCAGAGAATTTGCAGGCATGGCTCAGGGGTCAGCATGGGCCATTGACAGGTCCAAATACACTGTGTGCAAGTAACCATGCTGCTGTCGGTGTCTGCGAGCTCGAAAGGTGCAGGTTTTTGGGGTCAGTTGGCCCCTGCCAGAGAACAGTCCTCTGCATATTTCACTTATTAGTGTAGCTGAAGCTTAAGATGCAGCAGTATAGCTAAACTAATTTTCATCTCAATCAACAGTGGATGAACAATTTTCACAAAGATGAAAGAATGAAGCTGATCTTTACAACTCAGTTAACTTCACACTTGTATTAATTTCCTCTTTTTTTTTTTTCCTGATTTACTGATTTTAGATCCTTAGCAGAATAAAAGCAGGTTAAAAGATCAGTGCATCTTATACCATTTTGTCTTTGAGATCCATAAAACTGTACCTTTGCACTGCTGCTGATTATCATTTTTCAGATGCTGTCTGTCTATTGCAGCACTACCCCAAAAGACACAGCCACCACATAAATGATGCACAGACCAGGCAGTGATACAGTACAGTGAGGAAAAGCTGACATTGAGGCAAGGAGGAGCTGGGACAGGGAAAAGGAGGGAAGCAGGAAATGCATGAAAAGCCTGGCATACAACATAGCAGAAATCAGTTACTTTGAAGTATTAGCTATGACAGGAATCACATGAGTTCTGCATCATCTGCCAATTTTAACATATGTTCTATGGGACTTCAGCTGGACTGAATCAGCATCATACTGCAGTCAACCATACTCATTCCCACAAAATCTTCCCTCAATATTCCACTTGAGGGGACACCCCAGAGAGCTGATAGGATAAAAACTTCACAGCATCTTGGGGAACTTTTAGGCCAGAGCAAAAGTATCAGCCTGACTATGGTGCCTCATGAAGCAGTTGTTGTTGGCAGTAGAAGTCATGGAGTTGGGTGGTGGAACAACTGAGAAGTAAATATCAGCAAATTTTATTCACCATCCCCTCTTTCCAGACCTCTCACTGTTTTTTTCCTCAAAAAGCAGAGACTGCTTTAACCCATGGCTTCTCAGTAATACCCACTGGAAAATCAGGCACCTGGAACAGTCATACTGTCCTTCCAAATGTATATGGCAGTCTAGTGTAGGCATCAGGAGCATGATTCATCATACCAAGGCTGGACATATATATCTGAATTAGCTGTCTAGACTCCATTTATCATATAATGAAAAGGCTGTTTCTACGAAGTCACACACCTCATGCTAAAGTTTCTTTCCAAAATTAATGGTACACTAGAAAGTGCTTGTTTCCCTCCATTGATAACAAAGGGAGTTCAGATGTGCTTTAGACATGGTCACAAGACTGTAGGCACATAAAATTAATGAGGTGAAGATCAGTCATTGTTGCTATATCTAAGGAATAAAATAATCCAGAAATTAGACTATCACAGTCCAAGATGTAGCTGAATTAATACAATCAAAATTTCATTTAAAAAACCATTCCATTTTCCAAAGCATGTTTCAGTTTCTATTTAATATAGAAAACACTGTTGAATGAAATATGATTTTTTGTACTATTGCTCTTAAGTGTCCACTTGACAAATCGGGATGTACCACAACCAAAACATTAGATGTTACACAGACTTTAGGCACAGCATTACTTAAAATTTGTCTGTTGCTAGAAGTAGGTGTCAGCTTGCGCGTTTCTAGGAATCAGCTAAGCCTCCTTGCCAAGAAGAAACCTTTTGCTTCCTCACAGCTTTTTGGGAGCAGCCTTTCCTAGCTCCAGCCTGAGGCAAGAAGCAGTCATGAGCAGTGGTGTTCTGGGAGACTCACACCCTCGTGTTTTTTCTTCACAACATTAGAAGTGTAATCATGGCCATATGTGTCATTTCTGAGTTTCCCTGAGCAGAAGAAATTTACAGCGACATGTAAGGAAGGCCTTTAGAACAAAGCCTCATTTCTGCACTTATCCACACGTACAAACCACAAGATTTAAAAGGGATGTAGAAATACCTATCTGGATCCCCCCAGTGGTCCCTGGAACCATTATTCTGACTGCAGCAGTGGCAGCATGAGATATTCTGTAGGGCAAGTATGTGAATGTCACATAAAAGGGGGGTTTCCTTGAACCATTTATATTTGTTTGGTCTGTGGGTGCCCCAGGAAAGCTGAGACCCTCGTGTCTGCTCAGTGTGCCAGTGTCCCATTACAGGGACTCTGCTGATCAGTGTGCTGTATTGGAGGGCAGTTCAGCTGACTTGCTCAGGGACATGCGCTGACAATCTCTCAGAATGGAATACTTTATAAAAATTTAAGAATAGGAACATCCTCCTGGATGTCCCCATGGTTTTCAAGTATGACTGCTAGCACCCTTGAAGGGCACACTAAATAGTTTATGGAATTACACACTTTATCAATAAGCAGTCTGATAATAGAAAATTGTGAAAAGCTAAGTTTAGAAGATTGCAGTTGATAGCAAAAACCAAATTGAAAGCAATAGACAGACAATCTGTAATCACCGATGAGAGCTATTTTGACATAATGGTTCAGCACACATAGAGTAAGTTTCTTCTCATCCAATAGGTATTCCAGTGGAGGAGAAGACAGGTTCAGCCTTGTCAGCTGATCTCAAAAGCTATGATGGAGTCTTCCATAACTTCTTCCCACTCTTAACTTTCACACTATTTCTTTAAATTTTGAGTGGACCTTAAGTGACTCCAGTCATACATACTTTTGTTACTGACAACTGTAAAATTCTCTTGCTTTGCTCTTACATCCCAGAATCACAGAATATTCTGAGTTGGAAGTGACCCAGACATATCATCAAGGCCAGCTCTTATACATACAGGGCTCAAACCTACAGCCTTGGTATTATTAGCACCATGCTCTGTGGTCAGGAAAACATTCAGCACATGCCCAGTGAAGGGTGGTTGTACCTTGGAGGCAGGCACACCTGGGAGGTGTGTGTTAATATTGCAATTTGGTTATAATGAACCAAGTTCATCCGAGGAGAGTGATTTTGCCACTGGTTGCTGGTTCAGCTGCAGTACATCTGCTCCCATCTCCCCTGGCTGGCAGGTGCTGTGCACTTCATTGGCTACATGATGCCATTGAGTTCCCCTCCCTGCAAGGATTGCAGCAGAGCCTGGCTGCGATGTCTCCACTATGCTCTACCCTCCATTTCATCCCTCTCAACATGTGCTTAAGATTGCAGGTTGAATGTGTGGGAAGTCACTGTGGAATAGGTTTCATGCATGCCAACCACATTCTATCCAGGAAGCAGCAATTGCATGTTACCCTATAACTTCTGTACTGTTAAAACCTTTCATTAGAATTTACATACAACTTCCCAGTTTTCTCTAATTTCAGCCCAGTCACCTTCCTACAGTGAGTTTACCATTTCACACAATCTATTCCCTCTTGTATATCCTCAGAATCCAGTAATTTCATTCATAAGTTGAAATTTGCAATAGTGTGACCTCCTTACCTTTTCTACCAAGTCACGCAGGGATTTTATTTGAGTTCTTTCCTTATTGAATTGAGGCAG